ACCTACATACAGATTCAACTTAAGGACAAAACTACAGAACCTATCTTGTTCATAACCCGGGGACAGCCTGCACCATCATAAACCATTTACTAGATAGACACTGCACTGTTCTGAACACTACACATAAGGAATGTCAGTGAATATGGGAGCTTAATAAGTTAGATACACTGAAACAACAGACACATAAGACATACAGAAGAATAGATTTCTTTATAAATATAGACATATTTTAATAAAGTATGTACATAGTTTAGCCAAATAGGAATAGGAGTATGTCCATTTGAATTAACATTTGACTGCCAAGGAAGGTATATACCACTGTCTTCAGCCAGAGATAGCAAAGCTCTTCAATAAAGCAGCTGAAACCCGCATAATGTGTAAGACTAACTCTAATTTTGAGGTACGTGGGTATCAGCGGGTTTGTAAATCTCCTGAAAACTGCATGCAAAATTGTCTTACGTGTAGACATGAATTTTTATGAGGCAAAAAAGGGACTACAGCTTTCAAAATATAGAACCCTCAAAAAACTTTAAAGAACCACTGATTTAAAGCATTATAAAACCAATTTTTAAAAAAGTCACACAATAACATGTGGTACACAAAGTGAGAAAACATTCCTTATTATAATAATTAAATTTCTGAGTCTAATCTCAGAGTAAAATCTTGACATTTTTCATTATCCAATGTTTATGTACTATAACTTCACCTCTTTTATATAAGTGGTGTATTTTTTACTATGGGTTATATTTTCCCAACAGAACTAAAGGATCTAAAGCCCCTAATTCAGCAAACTCTGTATTATCAGGAGAGAATAAAGTAATTCCTTAAGTCTCAAGTTTCCCTGGCAGTTCTACTACTACCCTTCAGCACAACACATTGAAGGGATATCATATAACTGTTTAACAGCAAAATCAAACTTTACATCCTACATCTTATTTTAAAACATAGAACCTTTGGAAAATTCATCACCATGACAAAAAATAAGCTAAAATCTTTTGGAGCTTTTTGTGGACAAATCTGTAGTGTTTCTGTAAGTAGTAATAGGTTAATTGCCTAAAGAAGTTAACTTGTTACAGATGTGTCCAGTTTCCTTTTGGTTAGTGTCCAACATTCAAAGTATTTTTTTTTTTTTTTTTAAACAGAGCCTCACTATGTTGCCCTCGGTAGAGTACCATGGCGTCATAGCTCACGGCAACCTCAAACTCTTGGGTGTAAGAGATTCTCTTGCCTCAGCCTCCCAAGTAGGTGGGACTACAGACACCCGCCACACCTGGCTATTCTTTTTATTGTTGCTGTTGCAGTTGTTTAGCTAGCTCGGGCTGGGTTCAAGCCCACCACCCTTGGTGTATATGTGGCTGGTGCCATAACCACTGTGCTACAGGCACTGAGCCAGCATTCAAAGATTTTTATTGAAAGATCTCTTCTGAATAAGAATACTGTTACAAAATAATAGTTCAAAAATTACATGTTACAAATGAAGGGCAGAAGAGATACACTGTTTTAAATATAGCTATTACCAAAAGTACTACAAAATACCTGGGAAAAAGATGGAAACACTCTTGTTGAAAAGCCTCTAGATACATAATTCTTTGTTCTGGGAGATACAATTGAACTCTACTTTCACAATATTCAACTTGAAATAAATACATAAAGAAGTATTTTTTTCTTTGAGACAGTTTTACTTTGTTGCCCTCTGTAGAGTTATATGGCTTTATAGCTCACAACAACCTCAAACTCTTGGGCTCAAATGATCCTCTTGCCTCAGCCTCCCAAGTAGTGGGGACTACAGATGCTTGCCACAAAGCCTGGCTACTTTTAGAGAAAGGGTCTTGCTCTTGCTCAGGCTTGTCTTGAATCATGGGCTCAAGCAATCCACCTGCCCTGGCCTCCCAGAGTGCTGGTATTATAGGTGTGAGCCACTATGCTAGTCTAATAAATAAGAATTTATATAAATTCTTAGATCTGGAATTGAGAGGTACCATAATCTAATACTACCAAAAAGACAAGTTTTCTATTGCCTTAATTTTATTCTCGTCTAAGAAAATGATTTTTAGCCTTCAAGTACATTTTATTTATTAAAGCCCTTTATACAGATTATATCACAAGTTTTTGTTGGGTACATCAAGTAAAGATGAACTTTTAAATAAAAATAAACTTATTAAAAATCATTTATCCTTACACATCAATAACCAAGTATAAAAATTTGAAAATATATAAAATCACAATAGCAAAATTTAAAACATTCAAGAACATAACAAGTGAATGCACAAGATCTTTACAGAGAAAAGTAAAGTTTTAGTAAAGATGTAACAATTGGATACTTTAAAAAAAGGAATCTTGATCCCCACCAGACAGACATACACAAACACATTGGATTGTGTGTTTTATTACTAAAACAATAACATTTTTAGAACAAAATAATATCTTCACGATCTTCAGATAAGTAAAGACTTTTTTTTTTTGAGACAGAGTCTCAAGCTGTCGCCCTGGGGAGAGTGCCATGGCATCACACCTCACAGCAACCTCAAACTCTTGAGCTCAAGCAATTATCTTGCCTCAGCCTCCCAAGTAGCCGGGACTACAGGCGCCCACCACAACACCGGTCTATTTTTGGTTGTAGCTGTCATTGTTTGGCAGACCGGGGCTGGATTTGAACCCACTAGCTCTGGTGTATGTGGCTGGCACCCTAGCTGCTTGAGCTATAGGCGCCGAGCCAAGTAAAGACTTCTTAAATAGGACATAAATAATACTATCCATGAAGGAAAAAAAAGATAAATTAGACTACCTAGCATTAAACTTGAAGCCTACACACCGTTAAAAAAATATGTAAAGAACCTCTGTTAATCAAATGCCATAATTGGTCAGGTGTGGTGGCTCATATCTGTAATCCCAGCACTCTGGAGGCTAAGGGGGTATGATTCCTTGAGCTCAGGAGTTTAAGACCAGACTGAGCAAGAGCAAGATCCCATCTCTACTAAAACTGAAAAATATTAGCAGGGCATCATGGCAGGTGCCTGTAGTCCCAGGTACTTGGGAGGCTAAAGCAAGAGGATCACTAATAGAACCTAATAGTTTGAAGTAGCTGTGAGCTATGACACCACAGCACTCTATTCAGGGTGACTGAGTAAGACTCTGTCTCAAAAAGCAAAAAAAAAAAAAAAGAAAAGAAAAGAAAAAATACAAGGGATTAAAAACTAGGATATACAAAGGAACTTTTACAAATCAAAAAATAAATTCCCCATTTTTTAATGGAAAAAAAATGAACAAAGATTTTTTTTTTTTTTAGAGATAAAGTCTCACTTTATCACCCTTGGTAGAGTGTCATGGCGTCACAGCTCACAACAACCTCCAGCTCTTGGGCTTAGGTGATTCTCTTGCCTCAGCCTCCTGAGTAGCTGGGACTACAGGCGCCTGCCACAACGCCCGGATATTTTTTTTGTTGCAGTTTGGTCGGGGCCGGGTTTGAACCCACCACCCTCGGTATATGGGCCCGGTACCCTGCTCACTGAGCCACAGGCACCACCCTGGACAAAGATTTTAATAAGCAAATTACAGAAGTAGAAGTTCAGCTGGTTAGTATGTACACAAAGAGATCCTCAATCTCACTAATCAGAGAAAGGCAAACTAAAGCAAAAACCCAAACTACCACTTCATAAGTCATTGGCAAATATTAGGTGATACCAATTATTAAGAACTTGAGGGAAAGGACTCCGTGAGGTGGCTTATGCCTGTAATCCTAGGACTCTCAGTCTGAGGCAGAAAAATTGCTTCAGGTCAGGAGTTTGAGACCAGCATGAGAAAAGTGATGTCCTACCTCTACTAACAATAGAAAAATTAGCCAGGCATGTTGCTACACACCTGTAGCCCCAGCTACTTGGGAAGCTGAGGCAGGAAGACTTGAGCCTTTGCAGTTGCCATGAGCTAGGCTGAGACCATGGCACACAGCACTCCAGCCTGGCAACAGAGTAAGCCTCTGTCTCAAAAAAAAATAAAGAAGGAACATGGGAGAAACATGAACTCTTATCACCAGGGGGGATATAAATTGTTATAGCAAGTCTGGGGAACAAACTGGCAATGCTTACAGAAATTAAATATATATGTATAACCTATGACAGTGGTTCTCAACCTTCCTAATGCCATGACCCTTTAATACAGTTCTTCATGTTGTTGACCCCCCAACCATAAAACTATTTTAAACTATTTTTTACTACTTCATAACTATAATTTTGCTATTGTTATGAATCATAATGTAAATATCTGATACGCAGGGTTATTTAGGTAACCCCTGTGAAAGGGGCTGCGACCCACAGGTTGAGAACCGCTGCCCTATGACCTAGCAATCCAATCCTAAAAACACTTCCCAGAAAAACCCTTGCATAAGTCCAAAAAAGAATAAATAAGGACATTCAACATACAAACAGCAGTGTGTTAAAACCAACTAATGAATTCATTGATCCACATTTGTGGATTACCTGATATGCTGCAAGTAAAAGCTATTATTTACATATAAATACTGCCACATAAATAGATTTCTAAAATCACCATGGAAGGAAAATTAAGAAAAAAGAATGAGATCTAGAATAGCACAAACTCATCTTATAATTAAAAAGTACAAATTTAAAATCACATACACAAAGCAATATCGTATAATTTATAAAAGTTCATCCTTCTTACAGATGGAAAAATGGAGAAGCTAAGTTACGGTAATATATAAATTAACCTACAAATGATGTTAAGTCCTCAGTCAGCCTTCTGCCTTCTATTGATAACACTAACCTGCCCTAGTTATATCTGAAGAGAAATTTACTTTCATACTGCTTCTCAACATCCATATAATTGGAAAAATAAGAAAACTTGCATATCTTTCCATGTGAGTCCTTGTGATTCATACAGGCTGTAGTTTAAGTTTCCTTTGAATCATTCCAAGAAGAATCAGCATGACAAAGCCAAAGCAGGGTCCAAAGGCAGGAAGCAGAAGCAATATGATGCTATGGAAGTACCTTTCTGAACAGCCTCTTCTGCTGTTGCAGGGTTTCTGGGTAACCCTTCAATGTAAGTGGTTGGCAATAAGTCTGCTGAGATAGGCTGACCTTGCAGCTTTTGTAGTCTCTCTTGTACAGCACTGGTCAGATCTACATAAGCTTCATCAATGCTGGCACGTTCAATCACAGCAAAACGGGACATTACCTCCATCACTTCAACACTGGCTTCCCGGTACCTAAGTAGAAGGATCATATATGACATAGGCAATAAACAGAGGTAACCTTAAGATTGTCAGCCTCATCCGCACCCTTCCATAATGAACAACATACACAATCAAGAGATAAGTGGCTTAAAAGACTAGACAACAGTAACAACTAAAGCAGTCAAGTGGCAGACAGATAGAAGCATAGAAAAGGAAGAATTACCAAGGCAAACATTTTTAGCACAATGCTAGCACCATGCCAGTAGAAAGCATCTAGACCATAATATCTCTATTTGACAAGGATGTCTCTGAAGAGGAAAGAAGTGCTTCAAATTAATTAGAAAACATTTTACTATGATATTCTCCCCACATATCTACCATGCAGTCTTCTTCTATCTTTAAAAAGAGGTAACTTAAAGGAATTCTGCACTTATCAGTAAACCAGTGTATCTGGTCTTCCTCAGTATAGTATTTCTCACTATAAACTAACAAACTGACATACAGGTTTTATACTTCAGTCAGTGGTGAATTCAGTTAACATGTGAACTGACCATCACCACATATACATACCCCAACCAATAATTTATAGATATAATAACATTCAAATTATTAAATTGAAGATTAACACCTAGAATGTGGTGATGTCCAGGCAGGCAGGCAGGCAGGCAGGCAACCTTAGATACCAATCTCACCATATACCTTCTATTTAAACCATAATAACCAGCTCTTCTGGCCATATAGCTGATTTTCTATGATAATATGCAGATAGTTTCTTTGGTTTGGACCTAATATGTAAAGTTCTTTGTTCCTATCCAACTTATGTTTACCATGAAAATGGCAATATTTGTACTTAGTATATAAACTTTCTGCAAATATTATTTTATAACCTAGTATCTCAATATAATTATTAAAACAATCATTTTAAATTGCTTATTAGCCAGGTGCAGTGGCTCATGCTTATAATCCTAGCACTTTGGGAAGCCAATGAGGGAGGATCCCTTGAGCTCAGGAATTCAAGACCAGCCTAAGCAAGAGCAAGAACCCATCTCTACTAAAAACAGAAAGTCTAGCTGGGGGTCCTGGTAGGCTCCTGTAGTCTCAGCTACTTGGGAGGCTAAGACAAGAGATTTGCTTGAGCCCGAGACTTCGAGGTTGCTGTGAGCTATGATGATGCCATGAAACCCTAACCAGGGCAAGAGAGTAAGACTCTGTCTCAAAGGGAGGAAACAAAAAGAAAAGAAAAGAAAAAAAATATATAAATCGCTTATTAACTCTCTGGTCTATACATTTATTCCTAATTTTTCTAAAACTGCCTCTGTTCATTATTTGATAAAGATGTTAAGAGTCTCCATTCACAGCCAGGTGTGGTGGCTCACACCTATTATTTTAACACTTTGGAGACCAAGCTGGAGGGATAGCTTAAGGCCAGCAGTTTAAGACTTGCCTGGTCAACATAGTAAGACTTCACCTCTACTTAAAAAAAAAAGTATACAACCCAGTTTGAAGTTGGTGAAGTATGGCTTTTCTGAATCACATTTTGAAGTAGACAATATATTTCAGGGAAGTTATATTGTCTATACCAGCATACAATTCTATTCGGTGCAATGAAACACATGTCCATTTAGCTGGATTAATTCTGCTTTAGGGTTAAATGACTAATCTTCAGTCAAATCTGTCTTTTCTGGCAATACCTTGAGACAAGATTGGGCGCATTCAGGGTGGTATGGTCGTCGACTCTGGCAATACCTTCAAAAGTTACCTATGTCTCTTTAGACTTCTGTTCTGTTCATAGATGAATTCAGAAATATCTCAAATCTCAACTCAAAGAATGATTCCTAGACACCATACAGGACTGTGTACTTTGAGAATGCAGATACTAAAATTTGAAAAAGTATGATTCCTCAGTCTTTCACTTAGCAGTGTGAACTGAAATTTAACCTTGTTAAACTTAATGAGGTTAAACTTTATGAAGTTGAAGTGATATTAGTACTTACCTTATAAAGATGTGAGATTTACAAGAGATATTGCCTGTAGAGAACTTAACACTCTGCCTAAACACAATACGTGCTTAACACATATTAGCTATTAGGATTATTTTAACAGCTAAAGTTTGTTCCTACTTCTGACTTGGCTATGCCTATCTATACACAGCTTCCATTCCAAGGCTAAATTTCTAATATTTGGGAAGAGATGGTTTAATCCAAAAACAAAAGTAATCTCCTTTGAAATTGTTCAATTCTGGCAACTAATTGTATATATCACACTGGAATGTTAGTTCAACTCAGTCTTTCCTAGAAAAACCCTTACTTTGGCTGGGCGCAGTGGCTCACCCCTATAACCCTAGCACTCTGGGAGACCAAGGCAGGTGGATTGCTAGAGCTCACGAGTTCAAGACCAACCTCAACAAAAGTGAGATCCCATCTCTACTAAAAATAGAAAAACTGAGGCAAGCGGATGGCTTCAGCCAAGAGTTGGAGGATGCTGTGAGCTATGAAGCCATGGCACTCTACCCAGGGTAACAGCTTGCAACTGTCTCAAAAAAAAAGAAAAACCTTTAGTTTCACAGTCAATTTAATGATTTAATTCAAACATTTTAGGCTTATAGATTGAGAACATAGCAACTGTCATTAAGTTTTAATTTAACAACCAATTGTTTATTATTATTATTTTTATTGTTGTTGTTTTTGAGGCAGAGCCTCAAGCTATCCCCCTGGGTAGAGTGCTATGGCATCACAGCTCACAGCAACCTCCAACCTGGGCTTAAGTGAGTCTCCTGCCTCTGCCTCCCAAGTAGCTGGGACCACAGGCACCCACACAATGCCTGGCTATTTTGTGGTTGCAGCCGTCATTGTTGTTTTTGGCATGCCCAGGCTGGATTCGAACCCGTTACCTTAGGTGTATGTGGCTGGCACCTTAGCCACTTGAGCCACAGGCACTGAGCCTATTTATTTTTTTTTTGAGACAGAGTCTCAAGCTGTCGCCCTGGGAAGAGTGCCATGGCATCACAGCTTACAGCAAACTCAAAGTTTTGGGCTTAAGCTATTCTCTTGCCTCAGCCTCCCAAGTAGCTGGGACTACAGGCACCTGCCACAACACCCAGTTATTATTTTTTTTTTTTTGGTTGTAGTTGTCACTGTTGTTCGGCAGGCCCAGGCTGGATTCGAACCCACCAGCTCTGGTGTATTTGGCTGGCGCCCTAGCGGCTGAGCTACAGGTGCCAAGCCTTAACAACCAATTTTTAAACATTTAAGGAAACGAATGGATATCAAAAACTATAGGTTATAATGACTCTGAACTGATCCTGAAATAAAACATTAAAATCTGTTTTTACTTCAGAGACAAGATGGCTGACCAAAGGAAACTATTCCAGATGTTATTATTCATACAGAACAAATGTGAAACAACAGATCCTAATTTCATGCACTACATTACTTTAACCTAAAAGAATTTTTCTTACTTAGTGAGATTAGCTTTCCCACGGGACTCACGAACTTGTGCCAGTAGAAGATCTGGACATAACTTCTTAGCATCATCTGCCCACATGTTTCTAGTGACCCCAAATGCACGAGCTTCATAGCTCACTGCAATTATTCTAAGGTTAAAAAAAAGGAGAGAATAGAAAAAAAAATTATATAACCACAAGCAAAAACTTAAAATTTAATATAAGCAAGCTATAAACATATAATATAGTAGAACATCCATAGATGACCAGATATCTACATTGACCTAATTTTCATAGACTGGAAATGCACCACATGTACATATTAGTATAGAGTTCCTTATGTTGACCAGTTTGTTATAGTCCCTTGGGCGGTCAATTTACAGAGGTTCTATTGTGTTAGAAACTTTTTGACAGATGTCACCATTCAATCCTAAACACAGCAGTTTAGAAATCTCAAAAAGAGGACCTAGTACAGTGCTAATGTATTCCTGTAGATTAAAATAGTAGTTGATAGTTATAACAATAACAGTGATACATACCCACCACCCTTCCATGATTTGTACTGCACAACTGCACAAGGCTTATTTCTTAAATGAGGATTTTGTTGTTGTTCCACTTGAACAAAAAAACAGTCCATGTCCACAAGAGCAACCACCCGATCCAGTCCAGCAGCCATTTTTCTATAAGACAACATTTTATGGACAGTTAAAAAGATACCTAATCCAAAATACTAGGGGAAACTCTATTTTCATTCTTTCATTGATGAGTTACCAGTGCACAAACTAATAAGAAGGAAATAGGCATTTTCATATACAGGTTGAAACATTTGGGACCAGAAGTGTTTGAGAGGGGCAGGCGTAGTGGTTCACACCTGTAATCTTAGCACTCTAGGATAATAAGGGGGGGTGGGACTGCCTGAGCTCAGGAGTTCGAGACCAGTCTGAGCAAGAGGAAGATTGTCTCAAAAAAAAAAAAAAAAGTTTCAGATTTTGAAGCATGTGAATTTCAGATTTTCAGATTAGAGCTACTCTGAGCTGAAAAAACACTCCCTCCCCTCATTCTGTCACTCAACAGGAATCAATGAAGACTTCCCCAACCAAACACATGGGGGTTTCTCCCCACCATCAATCAATCAATTCTGCAGTGGACACCAGCTGGATAGTCATTCTCTATTTCCATTCTGACACAATCTGCCTAGAAATAGCATTAGATCAGACAATAGGTTGAAGGTGTAGTATCACAAAACTGCCCCCACCCCCCACCCCTGGTGCTTCTAACCAACTGGTTATCAATTAGGGATCCCATGACTCCCACTTCTTAGATTTATTTGCCTGAGAGGCTTAGAGAACTCAGGGAATCACATTAACTGGTTTATTGTAAACAATATTACAAAGTATCCTTTGTAAAGGATGAAGAGATGAACAGGGAAAGGCATGTCAAGGGATATGAGAAAGGTTTCAGAGCTTCCATGCCCTCTGCCCGCATGCCACCCTCCAGGAATATCCACATGTTCAGCTATCCAAGAAGAAGCTCTCAAAACTCTGTCCTCTTGGGCCTTTGAGACTTCATTGGATAGGCATGATTGACAACAATGTAGAAATGTGATTAGACAAAAAACTATATGATCTAATTCTTTTTTTTTTTTTTTTTGCAGTTTCTTTTGGCTGGAGCTGGGTTTGAACCCTCCGGTATATCGGGCCAGTACCCAATCCTTTGAACCACAGGTGCTCCCCCCCCCAATTCTGTTTTTTTAGAGACAGAGTGTCACTTTGCTGCCCTCAGTAAAGCACTATGGCATCACAGCTCACAGCAACCTCCAGCTTTTGGGCTTAGGCAATTCTCTTGCCTCAGCCTTCAGAGTCGCTAGGACTACAGGTACCTGCCACAACACCTGGCTATTTTTTATTACAGTTTGGCCGGGGCTGAGTTCGAACTCGCCACCCTCCATATATGGGGCCTACACCCTACTCACTGAGCCACAGGCACCACCCTGTATAATCTAATTCCAATAGAGCAAGTGGGGAAATCCAGCAAGGCCTATCTGTTCAGATTCTTCCCAGCCCCTCTGCAGCATTACTTCCTCTAGGGTTTGGGGCAGGACCCCTTCTTATGACCCACATGATAAGGAAGATGGGGGAAGGGGCTCAGCGCCTGTAGCACACTGCTTACAGCACCAGCAACATGCACTGAGGGTGGCAGGTTCCAAACTGACCCAGGCCAGCTAAACAATGATAACTGCAACAACAACAACAAAATAGCCAGGTACTTGGGAGGGTGAGGGAAGAGAATCATTTAAGCCCAAGAGTTTAAGGTTGCTGTGAGCTGTGACGCCACAGCACTCTACCAAGGGCAACATAGTGAGGCTCTGTCCCCCAAAATAAATAAATAAGTTAAATAAAAATGAAAATGAAAAACTGAGGCAAGAGTTTAAGGTTGCTATGAGCTGTGACACTACAGCACTCTACTAAGAGCAACAAAGTACAACTCTGTCTCAAAAAAAAAAAAAAAAAAAGAAAGACACACAGAAAGATGGGGGAAGATTAGCGGTCGAAGGTGAGAGAGAGACAGATTCCGTTTTATGAGCCCTGGGGGGCCCCAACATTATAACAAAGGCCATGGGAGCTATTAGCCAGAAACTATGGACAAAACCAATATACAAATATAATACTATCACAGATACCCAATCTGTACTGCTAACATAATAAAGTGGTACAATTTTATGAAGGTAATAAATATTAAAAGCTTTAAAATACTCATCCTAAAAAGAATTTCATAAAACAAGATATACAAATAGCCAATAGGCACATAAAAATGAGCCCAACATCATTAGTTGTGGGAAATGCAAATTAAAATCAAAATGCACATCACTGGAAGAGAGAGCTAACACTTAATATAGTTCATAAACAGATCTTAGAAAAGTAGAAAATGACATATAGCATTGTAGTATTTATAAAAAAATTTTATTTTTATATTGAAATACTTTTAGACATATAGAAAATTGCAAAAATAGTAGAGTTATCCTTCTCCCAGTTTCCTCTAATGCTAGAATTTTACGTTGCAACTACCACAATGCTTGACTAATTTTTCTATTTTTAGTAGAGAAAGGGTCATGCGCTTGCAAGGGATGTTCTCAAATGCCTGAGGTTCAAGCAGTCCTCCTGTTGTCAGCCTCCCAGAGTGTGAGGATCACAGACACAAGCCATTGCACCCAGCCAGTATACTCTGAATAAGAGTTGAGAACTGGTTGCAGACTTTATGATATTTCACCTAATTACTTCAGCATTCATCTCCTAAAATTAGGGCTCTTAGTGGGACTTTACTTAATAACACCCAAAAATCAGCTCAGTGCCTATAGCACAGTGGTTACAGCACCAGCTACATACAATGAGGGTGGTGGGTTTGACCACAGCCCGGGCTGGCTAAACAACTGCAACAACAACAAAATAGCCGGGCATTGAGGCAGGTGCCTGTAGTCCCAGCTACTTGGGAGGCTGAGGCAAGAGAATCACTTAAGCCCAGGAGTTTGAGGTTGCTGTGAAATGTGACACCTCGGCACTCTACGGAGGGTGACATAGTGAGACGCTGTCTCAAAAAATAAATAAATAAATAACATCCAAAAATCACCTAATATCTAGTCTACGTTCAAATTTCCCAAATTGCTAGGTAAATAATTTGGGGAATCACTTTTATTGACTACACGTGCATACAAGGTTGGACAATTCAGTTCTTGAATTCACCCTAGAGAATGGCCAAGGGGAGTACTTTGAAAGTGATATTTAGCAATGAGGTTTGTAGCACTACTATCCTTTTTCTGCTCCAGGATTCAATATATGACCCTACAATGCATTTAGTCATGATGTCCTTAGTCTCTTCCAATCTGTGACATTTCTCAGTCTTTCTTTTTCATGACCTTGACACTTTTTGTTTTGAACAATATTGGTCAGTAATTTTGAGAATATCTTTAAATTTAGGTTTATCTGATATTTTCTCATGTTTGACTCATTTTTGGCAAGAATATCATGGAAGCAATGTGCTCTTTTCAGTGTATCATATGGGAAAGGAGTATATAATGTCAATATCTCTTATTACCAGTGATGTTAACCATGATCATTAGCTAAGACAGTGTTTTGCCAGGTACCTATAAAGTTATTTTTCTTTTGCACCTAACAAATATCACTGTTTACTTTGAGACTATGTAGACACTCTGTTTTTCTCCAACCTTTCAACCACTAAGCACCCATCAGTAGATCTTGCCTATAATTACTTTGAAGTGCTCTTTTTTCTTTTTTTGTGACAGGGTCTCACTCTGTTGCCCAAGCTGGAGTGCAGCAGTGTCATCATAGCTCACTGCAGGCTCCAATTTCTGGACTCAAGTGATCCTCCTGCCTCCCTCTCCCATGTATCAGAGACTACAGGTGCTTGCCACCATGCTTGACTAATTTTTCTGTAGAAATAGTCTCACTGTGTTGCCAAGGCTAGTCTTGAACTTCTGGCCTCTAGCAATCCTCTGGCCTCAGCCTCCCAAAATGCTGGGATTATAAGCCTGGGCCACTGCACTCAGCCCTTTGTAGTGCTCTAACAGTGATTTTCTACACATTTATGTAAATTTTTTAACACAAAAGAAACACTACTATTTACTATTCGTGGAAAACATAAGATAGAGGTATGAATGGTAGACTGAAAGAACAAACCTGATACTGACTAAAGTTATTATATTGTTAGCAATCTGGAAGAAGGAACCTAAAGGTGCCTGTAGTACCAGCTACCTGGGAGGCTAAGAACTCTCAAACTTTGCTGGACATTGGAATCACCTATGAACCTTAAAGAAATTGATATCTAATGTAATTGTTTTGGGTGAGACCTGGGCATCATGCTTTTTTTTTTTTTTTAAAGACAGAGCCTCAAGCTGTTGCCCTGGGTAGAGTGCTGTGGCATCACAGCTCACAGCAACCTCCAACTCCTGGGCTCAAGCGATTCTCCTGCCTCCGCCTCCCAAGTAGCTGGGACTACAAGCGCCCACCACAATGCCTGGCTATTTTTTTGATTGCAGCCATCATTGTTGTTTGGCAGGTTGGGGATGGGTTCGAACCCACCAGCTTAGGTCTATGTGGCTGGCGCCTGAGCTGCTTCAGTCACAGGCGTCTAGACATCATGATTTTTTAAAAGCTCCCCAGGTGATTTCAGTATACAGCAGAGTCTGGGAACCACTGACCCAAAGTAAATAAGATACTTATGAAAACACAGTAATTCATGATTTAAATATGAAAAACATAGGTTATACAGTTGAGTGAGCACCCAACTGTATTCTAAAAATATTTCAAAAACTAACATTTCTTTTTTTTTTTTTTTTTTGTTTTTTTGAGACAGAGCCTCAAGCTGTCCCCCTGGGTAGAGTGCCGTGGCATTACAGCTCACAGCAACCTCCAACTCCTGGGCTCAAGCGAGTCTCCTGCCTCCGCCTCCCAAGCAGCTGGGACCACAGGCGCCCGCCACAACGCCTGGCCATTTTTTGGTTGCAGCCGTCATTGTTGTTTGGCGGGTCCGGGCTGGGGATTCGAACCTGCCACCTTAGGTGTACGTGGCTGGCGCCTTAGCCGGTTGAGCTATAGGCGCCGAGCCAAAAACTAACATTTCACCTTGAAAAAAAGTTTACACAACTATAAAGCTGGGAGATTAGTGAAAAAAAATTAAGAAAATCAGAATAGTCTGATTCCTTATAAATTCCAATTGACTACTGACCTAAAAAAGGCAGAAAGTAACACTTAAATTATAACATGTCAGAAATCCCTTTTCCTTGTAGCAGCTTTTCTGTAATACTGGAACAGATAAAGCCAACAAATACAGGGTAAGTGCTGTATTAGGTCCAAATACCAGAAGTGGAGTAGGAATAAGAAGCAGTGATTTAAGCCCAGCAAACATTCTGGTGAGTACACAATCACAAAAACAGATATGTAGACTTTCACAGATAATAAGGCTGTTGAGGTTCCCGAGTTATGTATTTACTGGAAAAAGCAAGAGCTTCACAAAGGTGGAAAATGAGGCATATTTTCTGGCAGAATTCTGCTTTGGGATGAGGCTACACTACTTTGAAATCTTATACGTATATAGCACTTGGCCAATTATCAAAACTGCATAAACCTTCATTAATTGCAAATATTCATCTTTAAATATATCGATTTACCTCAATCTGCACAAAACAAGTTTGGTACCAATCAGGTAATAACACACCCAGGGAAATAAGTGCAGATGGAGAGATAAGTTTAAGAGTTAACGGGGGAAATTATTTTTTCTCCAAGAAAAATCTTAAGAGGACAATACCAGGACTGTATCGCTCTGTTAGCATGATTACTATTTCATATATTTTGGCCCAGTGTGTCACCAGCCACTGCTGTATCATAAACCAATAGCCAAGGCAACATGGAAAGTCTGAAAATGGTTCTAAGTTTTCTTACCAAGGCAGCAAACACCCAGCACAAGTGCCCACAGCAGATGCGGTAGATGCTGGGCTCGGTGTCCAATGGAAGGAAAATGAGGGCGTCTAAAATATATTACCGCCTTTCGGGGAGCGGCCCAGCGAGTTCTAAGATTTATTCCCCGTGACGATGGAGCAACGGCACAGGGTCGCAGAGGATCCTATCGGCATAACCGTCCGCGAAGCCCAACGAGATTCAGCCAAAGAGAGCGCTCTCAGCAGCAAGCTCGCCTGATTGCGGTCAGACACCGCGCGCCCAGCGAAAAGCCGTTGACGCGCCTGCGCGCCGCGGCCCTTCCGTCTCCCGCTCGGTCTACCCAAGAGCAACCGTCACAAGGGAGCCACCACTTCCGCGCGCGCGTGCGCAGTGGTGGGTCTAGCGCGTGCGCAGCGGCTCCTCCGGGCTCCAGCTTCTGCTACTCACGCTCCTCCTCCGGCTCCCCACCCCCAAGCCCGCCGCGGCCCGGTATCAACGTGGTCCCGCCAAGGGAGCCGTCGTGCCTCGTGCTCCCAGGACGGCGGTGGTGTGCGCTCGCGGCTCTTGGCGCTAGGCATGGCGATGGATCAAGTGAACGCGCTGTGCGAGCAGCTGGTGAAAGCGGTGACGGTCATGATGGACCCCAGCTCCACCCAGCGATACCGGCTGGAAGCCCTCAAGGTAGCTGGGGTCTTGGCACCTGGGCCCGCCCGGAGACCTCAGCCGCCGCGGCGCCGCTCCTAACTCGGGTCGTAGTCCCCTTCCCACGCGGTCCCTGGACCTCCTTCCCCAAACCCCGAAGGGGACCTTCCCCTTTGCGGCCCTCCGCGCCTCTTCCCACCCCCAGCCTTCTCTGCTCGCCGCTTCTGCCCTTCTCCTGGGACACCGGTCCCTAGCTCTTCATCATTTCCCCGTCACTTCTCACTGCCCTTTCCTCACTTTGTTCACTCTTAACGGCACCACGATCCCCTCTGCAGCCAACTGCACCCGTTTTCACCCCCTAAGCCCCATATCCCCTTGCCTTCCTGGGGCGCACGTGCGGATCCCGCCCCCCAACACCAACCTGATTATAATCCCGCCTGCGCTAAATGTTTCCCTGCTGACCCCCTCTCCTGACCCTCGAGTGCTCTTTTACTTACATCCGTCTCGCTACTATGTTTTGGGCATTTCTGGGCTAGTTCTCACACCTGCTTCTCACATGTTTTTTAGTGTGTAGTATTTTTAGGCTACCTTGCACAGAGATGAACTTCTACCACTTACTTTGCATTTTAACAAGTGCCCTTTGGTTTCCTAAAAGTAGTTAAGTCCCTGCTTCTGCTCCTGGGACCCATTCATATATTGGTCATTGGAGATGCTAGGGCAGATGAGTATTTGTGGACTGTGAGAAATGACTGTTTAGGGAAAAATATTTGTGCCATACATATTTTAAGTGATATAACTTTATAAGAAGAGTGAGCTCCACTTGGAGGAAACTTTACAATGTTTAGATGTTTGCCACAAAGTTAAGAATCCAGGAGCCATGGGGTTCTATTAGTTTGTTTTTATCATGAAATATTTAAAATAAGGGTGGGCATGGTGGCTTACACTTGTAATCCCAGCCCTTGGGAGGCCGAGGTGGGTGGATTGCCTGAGCTCACAGGTTTAAGACCAGCCTGAGCTATAGTGAGACCCCTGTCTCCAAAATATACCCTGGCATTGTGGCGGGAGACTAGTCCTAGCTACTTGGGAGGCTGAGGCAAGAGGATCACTTAAACCCAAGAGTTTGAGGTGGCTGTGAGCTAAGATGCCTCAGCACTCTACCAAGGGACAAAATGAGACTCTGTCTCAAGAAATAAAAAGAAAAAAATTTAAATAGACACAAACGTAGGATACTACAATGATCCTGCATATACCTGTCACATTAGAGCAGTAATAAAGATTTTGTCATATTTGCTTTATCCTGCTACTCCCTCTTCTGAAGATTTTTTTTTTTTAAACAGAGTCTCAAACTGTGGCCCTTGGTAGGGTGCCATGGAGTCACAGCTCACAGCAATTCTCTTGCCTCAGCCTCCCAAGTAGCTGGGACTACAGGTGTCTGCCACAACATCTTGCTATTTTTTTTTTTTGGTTGTAGTTGTCATTATTTGGCAGGCCCAGGCTGGATTCGAACCTGCCAGCTCTGGTGTATGTGGCTAGTGCCCTAGCCGCTTGATTTGCAGTTTTGGCCAGGGCTGGGTTTGAAGCTGCCACCTCGCATATGGGGCCGGTGCCCTACTCCTTTGAGCCACAGACACCACCCCCTAGCCGCTTGAGCTACAGGCGCTGAGCTTCTTCTGAAGATTTTTAAAGCAAATCCTAGAAATTGTCATTATACCCCTATGTAGCATATACTTCAGGGTGTGTCTTTAAACACTAATTTTTTACTCGTTTTGGTCCAGTTTTTTGTTTTGTTTTGTTTTTTTCACATTAGTAAGGTTAATGTTGGCCATAGCATGGAAAATGTGGAACCATCAGACTGGAAAGGATGTTTGTCAGTTCTTCATAAAATATTGAGGCTAGATTTTATAACTTAAAAATACAGCTTAAGTTGGAGTTTCTTAAGATGAAACTTTCTTGGTCTTCACCCTCTCTAGCTCCCAAAAGAAATACTACCTTTTGTTCTTTCAGTTTTGTGAAGAGTTTAAAGAAAAGTGCCCTGTCTGTGTCCCTTGCGGCTTGAAGTTGGCTGAAAAAACACAAATTGCCATCGTCAGACATTTCGGCCTTCAGATCCTGGAACACGTTGTCAAGTAAGGAGCTCTTGGACATTATCACTGAAGTTTAAGAGAGCAAATCTTTGTTTCTTAACCTACAGAGATGCTTTTTAGTGAGTAGGAAAGAGCAGTCCCCAAAGAGAAAGAATTGATCCCCAGGATGTTATCAGAACCCCATAGGTGGTCTCATTCAGAACTTAACGTTTCTCTTTTTCAGTTTCTTCATCCATGTAAAGTACGTAGTACTCTTGGTCAAGCTGGTCTCCAACTCCTATACATGTTAAGCAGTCAACAAATATTAGCTAATAGCTGCAGTCATTTAGTCAGCACTTACTGAGCTAGTATATTGCAGCATTCCTCAAAACCTTTTCAGAGTTAATACAATGTATAGGTAAATAAATCTTTGGTTAGGCACTGTATATTTTTTTTTTTTAAGTTTGATTATGTACCTTCTCTGAATGGCACATCCAAAGAAGGATCTTATCAGAATAACCAAAAACCCCTTCTAACTTGAGTCTCTAGTCTCAATGTGTATCAGAAGATTTGGCCTTAAAGATTTAGCCAGTTTTTTAGAATTGTGCTGTTGCTTTGTAAGCCAGCCAATCTTGATATCAAAAGATATCATATTTTCTGAAAAACAACTACATTTATGTAGTTGTCCTAAATGTATATTTGCTTTTAACCTAACAATAAAATCGTGGAGAAAGCTTGAGTTGTGCCATAAATCCTGTGTGGATTCTCCTGCATGTACATGTGTAAAAACCCTTTCCCAAGAAGTTTTCTGTCAGTATTTGGGTTAAACGTGGACTATTTTTCTCCATTCTTTAAAGGGTACGAAATCAAAAGAATAATGTCTTAATGAAATCTCCAGTGTAATCTCATTCAGGAATCAAATCTATGCTCTTCTGAAGAGAAGACTTTTAATTTGAGTCTACTGATTTTATGCATTTTGATGGCCAGGTTTCGATGGAACAGCATGTCTCGATTGGAGAAGGTGTTTCTGAAGAATAGTGTCATGGAGCTGACTGGAAATGTAAGAAATGGGTGGTCCGAAGGCATCTGTTTAATCTTTTTTTTTTTTTTTAAGACAGAGTCTCATTTGTTGCCCTTGGTAGAGTGCCGTGGCATCATAGCTCACAACTCAAGCGATTCTCTTGTTTCAGCCTCCCAAGTAGCTGGGACTCCAGGCGCCCACCACAACATTCGGCTGTTTTCTTTTTAGAGACAGGGTCTTATACTTGCTCGGGTTGGTCTCAAACCTATGAGCTCAGGCAATCTACCCACCTCATCCTCCCAGAGTGCTAGGATTATAGGTGTGAGCTACTGTGCCTGGCCTGATATCTGTTTAATCTTTAAGAAAATTACATAAAGTCTAAAGTTTGACTTTAAACAAATTGTGAGTTCTTAAGTGTACAGGTTCTATAAAAATTCACTAGTGAGACAGCAGAAAAAGTCATAATTCATAACTTATCTCTTATTAGATTAATTACCTGGATATGTTGATTTCTATTTTTATTTTTCAAGACAGTGTCTCACTGTGTTGTCCAGGCTAGACTGCTGTGGCATCATCACAGTTCATAGCAACCTCAGGTTCCTGGGCTCAAGCAGTCCTATTACCTCAGCCTCCCCAGTAGCTAGGACTATAAGCACTTGCCACAATGCCTACCTAATTTTTTTTCTATTTTTAGTGGAGAGGTGGTCTCACTCTTGGTCAGGCTGGTGTCCAACTCCTCAGCTCAAGTGATCCTCCCACCTCAGCCTTGCAGAGTGCAAGAATTACAGGTGTGAGCCACTGTGCCTGGCCTTGACTTCTGCTCTTAAAATTATAGAGACAGGGCAACAGAGAGTGAACTTTTTTTTCAACAAATGAGTAATATTTTGGGGTCTAAATTAGGCTGAAACACTATCTACTTTATTTCCTTTTATTCCAAACAACTACTATGTGATACTAGCAATGAAAAACATGCAGAGTGAGTTTGTTTGAAGCATTAGAATGATTCTAAATGTGTTTTTTTTTAAACGAAGCATAAAAGACACAATCTGCATCTTCCAATACTTCTTCATGTGTATCTTCATTACTAAGACTAATGGTAAAGTATTCAGTTGCTCCTTAAATCCTCCCATTTTATCAGCCTCTCACTATATTCTTTATTTCTTTTTCTTTTCTTTTCTTTTCTTTTTCTTTTTTTTGAGAGAGTCTCGAGCTGTCACCCTGGTAGAGTGCTGTGGTGTCACAGCTCACAGCAACCTCAAACTCCTGGGCTTAAGCGATTCTCTTGTCTCAGCCTCCCAAATAGGTGGGACTACAGGCACCCGCCATAATGCCTGTTTTGTTTTTTGCTGCAGTTGTCATTGTTGTTTAGCTGGCCCAGGCCAGGTTTGAACCCACCACCCTCGGTGTATGTGGTTAGTGCCTTGCTGACTAAGCTACGAGCGCCACCCTATACTCTTTATTTCTATAGTCTTCTACCCTGGCCCTCTAAAAACCTGAAACAGTTCATATGAGAGGCCGGTGCGGGCATAAATCTATAATCTTAGCTAGTACTTTGGGAGGCTGAAGCAAGAAGATCACTTGAGGCTAGGAGTTTAAGAGCAGCCTGGGCAACATAACAAGACTCCATCACTACAAAAAAGTTTTAAAACAATCTGAGAATCTTTTCAGTTTATAAAGAATAATGATGTCTTCCTAGCTCTGTGAGCCTTTTTTTTTTTTTTTAACAGTTTATTTATTTATTTTTTTACAGTTTTTGGCTGGGGCTGGGTTTGAACCTACCACCTCTGGTATATGGGACTGGCGCCCTACTCCTTGAGCCACAGGCACTGCCCTGAGCCATTTTATTAGCTGATGCAACCTGCACTTCAGCTGTTAGTGGGAAGTATGATTAGTGACAATGCAGGATAAGTGACTCAGACATGAAGAACAGGTTTGTTTGTTCTGTTTAGTTTAAAAGCAGGTCTAATAATGAGTTTTGTACACTTTTAAAGCCCAGGGCTTTTTGATCTCTGAAATTCAGTCTGTCAGACTTCTTAATATCTTTTGTTCTTTTTCAGGGAACATTAAACATTTTGGAAGAGGAAAACCATATTAAAGATGTTCTGTCTCGAATTGTGGTAGAAATGATTAAGCGTGAGTGGCCACAGCACTGGCCTGACATGTTAATGGAATTGGACACTCTTTCTAAACAAGGGGTATGAAATACAGCTTTATCAATTCAGCATACTTGTTCTTGAAATAAACTTCAGGGTTTTTTGTTGTTTTTCTTTATCCACAGAAAATAGCCTTGGAGTTACATGTTATGAAAAAGATGTTTTGGTTTTAATTGAACTAGTTTATTTGTATTGATATAGGAAACACAGACAGAATTAGTGATGTTCATCCTTTTGCGACTGGCAGAGGACGTAGTGACCTTTCAGACACTTCCCCCTCAAAGAAGAAGAGATATCCAGCAAACATTAACCCAGAACATGGAGAAGATCTTCACTTTTCTACTTAACACACTTCAAGAAAATGTAAACAAGTACCAGCAAGTGGTAAGGGATACCCCACTCCACAAATGTCCTGTTTTCTAATATGAACATTTTTCTTTTTAGTTAAAATAAACTTTCAGTAAGGAACTAAGGTGTCGGATTCAGCAGAAGAAAAAGGCATTTTATAAGCAAAAAGAAAGGAAATGACAAAAACTAGAGCTAATCTTCTAAGATACTCCATTCAATGAGTTTCCATGTCTATTAGAAAAAATACTTCCTTTGTTGTAAAAAAATTCTTATGAATGTATGAAAATGAAAGTTAATGCTAAATATTTGAGAACTCAGATTTCTGTTACATTAGGATAGTATGTTAAATTGCAGCATCTTATTTAGTCCTGGTTCTTTTTGCCCTATAGACTTGTCACCAACTTTATTTATTTTTATTTTTTGAGACCGAGTCTTACTTTATCCCTGGGTAGACTGCCCTAACATCGTAGCTCACAGCAACCTCCAACTCTTGGGCTCAAGTGATTCTCTTGCCTCAGCCTTCTGAGTAGCTGGGACGACAGGTACCCGCCACAACGCCTGGCTATTTTTAGAGATGGGGGTTGTGCTCTTGCTCAGGCTGGTATCTGAGCTGTGAGCTCAGGCAATCCACCTACCTCAGCCTCCCAGAGTGCTAGGATTACAGGCATAAGCCACTGTACTTGGTCCTGATGCCAAATTTATTAATCTTCACTACAAGGCTGGGTGCAGTGGCACATGCCTATATTCCTAGCACTCTGGGAGGCTGAGGTGGGTAGGCTCAGGAGTTCAAGACCAGCCTGAGCAAGAGGGAGACCCTCATTTCCAAAAATAGCTGGGCATTGTTGTGGGCACTGTAATCTCAGCTACTCGGGAGACTGAGGCGAGAGGATTCCTTGACCCCAAAAGCGAGGTTGCTATGAGCTATGACTCCATGGCACTCTACCAGAGTGACTAAATGAGATTCTGTCTCAAAATCTTCACTGCATGATCCCTGATATTTTATTTTTTCCTGAGGAAGTTTTTCTTCTGCAGAAAAGGGTGAGCCAAACAGTATTTCCCACCTTATCATTTTTTGCAGATGTTCTTTAGAAAATACTTTTTTTTTTTAAGAGACAGTCTCACTCTTTCACCCTTGGTAGAGTGCCTTGGTGTCACGTCACAGAGCACAGCAACCTCTAGCTCTTGGGCTTAGGCGATTCTCTTACCTCAGCCTCCCAAGTAGCTGGGACGACAGGTGCCCGCCACAACATCCAGCTATTTTTTGTTGTAGTTTGGCTGGGGCCAGGTTTGAACTCGCCACCATTAGCATATGGGGCCGGTCCCCTACTCAGTGAGCCACAGGCGCCATCCTTTAGAAAATACTTTTAAAATTAATCTAACACAATGCTTCTAAAGGGGATGTGGTGTGATTTTGCTCCCCAAGGAGCATTTGTTGATATCTGGAAACATTTTGTTTGTTGTAACAGGGGTTTCTCCTGGCAGCCCTCCTATAACAAAGAATTATCCAACCCAAACTGTTAATAGTACTGAAGTTGAAAAACTGTGATCGGCTAGGCGCCTATAGCTCACCCGGCTAAGGCGCCAGCCATGTACACCTAAGGTGGTGGGTTCGAATCCCCAGCCTGGACCCGCCAAACAACAATGACGGCTGCAACCAAAAAATAGCCGGGCGTTGTGG